CCTTATCATGAAGTATCCATCCATCCATACATGTATGAGTATGAGTGTGTCTCGGTGTGTGTGTCGTCGTTGCATTAAAGAGTCATTCATGTGTGACAAATTACATACATGAAAAGTGCAGTTCAGCACAGCATCCAAAGTTGAAACCAATATGGGAGGCCATTTGCTCTCTTTGTCTCCCTCTCTTCAACCATCCCTCCTTCGTCGTAAAAGTTCTTTGGTGTTGTTGTATTCTTTTTTTGCTAAATGTTTTTAGATTGCATCTCGTAAGTTTTTTTTTATTTGTGCAGATACTTGCTTACGTGCTAAAATTTATCGAGATTTGATGTGATGAAGTTTATTTCTAAACTGATTTTGTTTTCAAGATAATGAACATTTAATTTTTTTGAGGTACTAAGAAGAAAAAAGGACTTTAAAATTAATTCAGCTATGCTGAATTGAAAGATATTTTCAATTTTTCTTAGCGGAGTAATAATATCCGCAATACAAATTTAATTCAGCTATGCTGAATATGATTTTGATCAAAAGTTAAGCTATACTACTTTGCTGAATTGTGTTTTTATAAAGATAACATCAATTCAGCTTAGCTGAATACGAATTGTTTAAAGAAATTATCCAATTATCACAGTAGACTGACGGTTTGAGTGATAAAACTCAAATTCAGCTCAGCTGAATTTAATTATTGTCAAAAAAATTGTTAATTCAGCTTAGCTGAATTTAATTTTAGTTAAGCTATTTTCATTTTAGCTTAACTGAATTTGATTTTTATTAAGAAATATTAAAGATTTTGTTTATTCAGCTTAGCTCAATTTAATTGTTGGTAAGCAATCTTTAATTCAGTTTAGCTGAATTTAGTTTTTGTTAAAGAATTCACAATTTAACATAGCTGAATTTAATTTTTGTTAAGTTATATTAAATTCAGCTAAGCTGAATAAATCTTCAATTCAGCGTAGCTGAATTTAATTCTTATTAAGAAATCTTCAATTCATCTTTGCTGAATGTACTTTTTGTTAAGAAATCTGCAAGTCAGCATTGCTGAATTAGGTTTTTAGTGAGAAAATTTCAATTTAATTCATCTGAATTTTGTTTTGATTAAGAAAACTTCAATTCAGGTGTGCTGAATTACGTTTTTAATAAAATTCTTCTATTCAGCATAGACAAACTCAAACTTTCATAAGAAATTTTTAATAACAAAACTTCAATTTAGCTTAGCTGAATTTGATTTGCGTTAGGAAATCTTCAATTCAGCTTTGCTGAATTCCCTTTCTGTTAACAAATCTTCAAATCAACATTGCTGAATTCAATTTTCTCAATGATATATACAATTCAGTATAGCTGAATTTAGTTGAATATTGACTGAATGTTATTTTAATTAATAAATCATCAATTCAGCCCAGCTGAATTGAATAAATACTAGGTTCTACGCTGCTGAATTTGTATTTCATTGAGAAATCTTAAATTTTACGCAGCGGAATTTTACTTATAGTACTTAAAATGTATTTTAGCTTAACTGAATATCATATTTTGTTATAAAAATACAATTGAACTTTGCTGAATAGCACTTATCATTTTGGTACCAAGAATTTCAATTATGCTCAACTGAATAGTATTTTCAGCTGAATAACATTTTTACTACAAACATTTCATTTCACCTCAGCTCAATTACGTTAAATTTTAAAAATCTTTAATTTAGTTTAGCTGAATATTGGCTTAAAAGCTTCAATTTTACTTAGCTGAATTAAATTTCCGTTACCAAAAAATTCAATTCAGCTTAGCTTAGCTTAATTGCAGAAAATTCAATTCAGCACAGGTGAATATCAGTTGTCACATGAAATTTTCTATTCAGCAAAGCTGAATTGCATTAATGTTGCACAATAATGCAATTCAGCTCGTCTAGTGTGCATTTTTGGCACGAAAACATCAATATTTTGCTAGCAAAAATTTCAGTTCAGCTTTGCTGAATAGCATTTTACTACCAAACATATCAATTCAGCTTAGCTGAATAGCATTTTCGTTACCAAAAATATCAATTCAGCTTAGCTGAATAGTATTTTGTTAGCAAAAATTTCAGTTCAGCTCAGCTGAATAACATTTTCGTTACCAAAACATTCAATTCAGCTTAGCTGAATATCATTTTACTACCAAAAATTTCAATTCAGCTTAGCTGAATAGTATTTTTGGTGCTAAATTTTCATTTTCACATGAAATTTTCAATTCAGCTCAGCTGAATAACATTTTAACTGCTACAATTTCATTTTACCTCAGCTGAATTGCATTTATGATGGAAAATACTGCAATTCAGCTTAGCAGAATTACGCAGTTAACCATCAAATTTAAAATTCAAATTGATTTTTTATCCAAATTACCTTTCAAATTTCAATTTTTTTCAAAACAACAGCCACTCACTTTACAGCTCATTATCAAATCCGAATATCCGCTGATAAAATCCCCAGTATTTCCTTCATCATTAAATTGTAATTTACATAGTCGTAAAAATCACACACACTTCATGGTCATAAATGCTGTTGATTTGATTCTTTTAACGCCAAAAGACGACCTGGTCAATATCAGCGTCATCACCGTCATCAACATCATCCGCACCACGACCATCATCCGCCTCATATCCCCCCATTTCGAAGCCATTCAAGATATGACATTCTAATGAAATTCGAAAATGAAGCGATAAACATGCTGTTTCTTCCTTTAAGTTCTATGGCCTGAGTCGCTTCTTCTTCTTCAATAAAAACAAATAACAGCAACAACGAAAACTCCAATAAATTCCAGTAATAGCCATTGATTTAAAGGTAGATAAGTTAACTTGTCTCGAGACTCACAAAATTGTTCAAAACCAGTAGCGACCTCAAAAAAGACTGAACATAGACAGGAGGCATTGGTCGCTTAAGAACAGAAGGGAGAGGGAGGGAGGGGACATCTTCAAAGCACACTTGCAGCCAAGGAACAATTATGCAAAATTTCCATACACACATATGTGTATGTTGATTTGCTGGGATTCCGGTTACAGTAGCACAAAACATTACGCATACAAAGTACACCTGATTGCTAGGCATGCAGACCAGCCAGCCAGCCAACCTACCAACCAGCCCATTCTGCCAGCTAACCAGCCAGCCATCTAGCAATAAAGACACCATGATTACAGCCCAACAAAAACCCAGAATTGTTAGTTTCGTCTATCTGTCGGACAGCCCAAATATATGTGTGTGTATATTTCTAGTGGCCGTAGGAATGCCTCTGTTAAGCTGCCAGCCTGGCCTCAAACATAACCAATTAAATGACTCTCGGTGGTTAACTATTAACGACGCCAAAATTGCCGATTCATAATTTTCACATAGACGACACATTGCAGTTATGGCGCCGCCATTTCAGACGGGCGGACAGACATAGCTTGAGAGACGCACATATGGTAGGCCAGTCATCCGCTCCTATATATATTGGAAAGACAATTATTGGAAAAAAAACATATTGACATGCGATACATAAAAACGGCGAGACTTTTGGAGCAGGAAAAACCAAAAAACCCTAGACTGGAAAGGAAGTCATAAAAGCATGGAGTTTTCAAAATACCATTTTTTACATTTTTCCTATACGAGCAAATATATTGGAAAATTTTGAAAAAACAACTGGCTGAATTTATTTGTAGGTCGAGAAAAACACAATTCAGCTAGCTGAATAATCACTTTTAGGAGCTAAAAACGTATTTCAATGAGGTTTAAAGCCATTCAGCTAGCTGAATTGTACTTTCCATGGATTTTTGTCGAATTCAGCTAATTAGTTTAAGTCTTAAGTGTCTTTTCAACCAATTCAGCTAGTTGAATTGTATTTTCCGTGAATTTTATAGCAATTCAGCTAGCTGAATTGTGATATTACAAGGTGTAATATGTATTCAGCTAGCTGAATTATACTTTTCATCGAACCTTATCAAATTCAGCTAACTAGATTAAGTCCCAAGTGATTTTTAAACAAATTCAGCTAGCTGAATTTTATTTTCAATGGATTTTAAAGCAATCCAGCTAGCTGAATTTTGAAATTAGAAAGTTTAATATATATTCAGCTAGCTGAATTATACTTCCCATAGATTTTTAATAAATTCAGCTAATTAAATTTATTCTTAAGTGACTTTTAAACAAATTCAGCAAGCTGAATTGTATTTGCAATAGATTTTGAAGCAATTCAGCTAGCTGAATTGTGATATTAGAAGTTTTAATATGTATTTAACGAGCTGAATAGTATTTTTGTTAAAATAATTTCAATTGGACTTAGCTGAATAGCATTTATGCTACAAAAATTCATTTCATCTCAGCTGAATAACCTTTTTAAGACGAAAACTTTAATTCAGCTAAGCTGAATAGCATTTTTGGTTGCAAAATGTCAACTCAGTTCAGTTGAATGCCATTTTTGGCTAAAAAATTTTAATTCAGCTTAGCTGAATAGCATTTTATTACCAAAAAAATTAATTCAACTTGGCGAAATAAAATTCCACACCAATTCAGCGAGCTTAATTATGTTTTGGTACGACATTTCTTCAATTCAGCTACGATATTTCCTCAATTCCGCTACGATATTTCCTCAATTCAGCTATGCTGAATTAGTTTTTGAGATATTTTTTAATTAATTCAGCAACATGAATCCTTCGTTTGAACTATCTGAATTGACTTATTATGAATTTTAAAATTTACCGTTAGCTGAATTACATTTTTGTTGGATATTTATTCAATTCAGCTAGCTGAATTTAATTTTAAATGAGTATTTATCTATTCAGCTAGCTGAATTGTGTTTTCAATGACATTTAAATATAATGAGCCAGCTGAATTTAATTTTTCACAATATTTAAGTAAATTCAGCTTTCTGAAATGTGTTCTCAATTAGTTTTAGTTAAATTCAGTTAAATTAAGTTTTGCGACAATTTCTAATCAAGTCAGCTATTTTTGCTCTCTAATAATTCTCTCTCATTAATTATATATCCATCTCTCTCTTTCTTCCAGGCCGAAATGCATTTGGACCATTCAACACTACTTGTGCCATCAATGGGTGGTTTAGCACCACCACCACCGCATCAGCCTTTACCACCTACCATGCTTAAGCATCGTGGCGATCCGCAACAACAACAACCCCAGCTGGACATTCCAACAACGAAAAAGACCAAAGGTTTAGATGATGCCTCCGCCTATCAACTGGAATATCAACACTATCAATCCCTGATGTATGCCCATTGTGCCCAGCAGCAACGTATGGCAGCGGCGGGACAAATGTCCGCTTTCCGACCCTGGCCACAACCAAAATCTTTTATGCATTCTGCATATAATGCAGCAGCGTTGGCAGCTCTATCCACTCTCCCATATTTGAGTCAAGAACCACCAGTTCTACAAAATCCCGAACGAGTGGTCCGCAGTTCAGATCGTGAACGGTTTGAGCGAACGTATCAACCAAATGTGGCGCTCGCACCACGTAAAACGCATTTGGCTCAGGAGCGGGAGAAGGAACAGCGTGAAATGCGTGAACGAGAACGTATGGAAAGGGAGCGAGAGCTGGAACGGGAGCGTATACGTGAAAGGGAACGGGAACGTTCGCGAGAACGTGAGCGTGAATATGAACGTGAAAGAGAATTGAGAGAAAGAAAACTGCAGCAGCAGCAACAACAAATCAACAAACCTCCACCTCCTCCGCCTCCATCGCAAACCCAGGTTTCCAGTTTGTGTGATGTCACCGATATCCAAATTAAGCAGGAACGTGCCCCCACACCCACTGAAATGAGTAGCAGTAGTCCCACACCCCCGCCGCCCCATAACAATAGCAACAATCAGCATCATCCACACCATCATTTGCATCTTACTCATCCTGCCATGGAGGATGGGCGCCGTAGTAGCAACAGTTCGGGTAGACCGCCTTCTGAAAATCCAGATACGGATGATGTACTAAATACCTGCAATCCTGCATTAATGTCACCCCTGTCGCTGAGTCGTGGCAAGAGTTCGCTGGCCCATTTATCGCACATGGATCCAGTGCGCCGTTTGTCATTGCAAAATTCATGTAACTCTTCGAACTCCTCCTCCGCCGCCGCCGCCTCAACAACAACTCCTGTGGCCGCAGCAACCACAACACCACCTGCCCCAAAAATGCAGCAGCATCAGTTGTCGCATCATTCGTCGGCTAGATTAGGTTCGGCCTCCTCAGCATCGTCGTCGTCTTCATCATCATCGTCGTCGTCGTCTTCGACGGCATTGCCATCCTCAGCTCAGCAAAACTATTTGAGACAATCGCCATCGCCAAATCGGCGCTGTAATAGTGCCTCCTGTACAAATTCCCGTAGCCCTGAGGAATTTGGTGGTTCCAATGAGATTACCTCGTCGACCTCTCCCATGCCTCATACGCAGCATCATAATGCACAAAATATTATTGCCACTGTGAATCATCACAATAAATTGCTGCCCTCTTCTTCATCGTCGGCGGCTGCGTCATCATCGGCGACGAATTTTGGTGCTAATAGCAGTGGTGGCGCCCAACTGCTGAACCACAACGAATTGCCAGGTCGTATACGCATAAGTAAAAATCTATTAAATCAAAATAATATTATACGCTCGCCCACACCGCCGCCGTCGTCAATGCATTCGGCGTCAGGACAGGGCCAGCCTCACCTCAACCAGCAACAGCAGCAACAATATGACTACTATAAACATAATGCCCGATTTTATGGCACGCCGCATCAGCAGCATCATCACCAGCAGGCTCCGATGCCTCCACACCCGCGACAATGCCATCAAAGTCCACAACCTCAGCTGGCAAATCATCAGCATAATTCGCCATCACAGTCTTCCAATGCCAGCCCAGCCGTGGTAACTGCTGCATCCGCATCAGGTGGTCTAAATCTAACCACAAATGCCACCAGCAGCAGCATGGCATCACCGGCAAACAGTGGCAGTAGCCAAGACAATAGCCAGAATTGCATTAAACCTCCAACACATCAGCACATGAGAATGGCAGGGCAAATGGGAGGAGCGGGAGCAGGAGCATCATTTCTACAACAAACCCACTCACAGTTTGGACAACATCATGGGCAGCATCACCCTCCTTCTCATCACCATCACCATCTGCAACATAGCCACCCTCACTCGCAGCTGCAGCAACAATCTGCCCAGCAGCAACCACCCTCATCCGCCACCTCCCATCCTCATCACAGTCTGGCCAATGGACGCCGGCCCCTACCATTGGTTGCCATGAATTCGGAATTTGAATTGTCCACCGATACCGATGACGAAAGTGTCAACGATGGTGAACCGGATAGCAGCAATACGCTAACCCCCTGGGAATTGGCCATTGAGGCATTGCGTGACTCACGACCCAAAGAACGCGAACGTCTCTTAAGCATGCTACAGCGTATTCTGAATGAGAATCAACATTATCGCTTGCAAAATCAACAGCTCAAAGAGTTGATTGTCGAGCGTAATGAACAGATTACGAAGTTGCAAACGGAACTGCAGCATTGCCAGAGGCAATTATCGTTGCTACAGCTGGGACAACAACCCACGGTGGCGGCGACGGCGAATTCATTGAATGGCGGTACAACTGGCAACAATGGCCTAATTACAAAAGCTTTACGCAAAGAGACCAGCAGCAGCCATGAGGATCATCAGCTGATGCTGAGAGTGCCGCTGAAAAAGTCGCTACGGCGTGAGCCGGAATCCTATGATGAGGAGAGTAATGAGCGAAATCATAATCGGGAAGCAAATGAGGGAGAGCAGCATAGCTTTACGCCCTGCCTAAAAGAAATCAAGAGAGAGCTTTGTGAATCAATGGAAGAGGATGAAGAAGCCGCGGAGGAGGAAAGGGATCGGGCGGTGGAGCAAAGAGCAGAAGAGAGCCAAAGACACATAGTAGCCCCAGAAAGTAATGATGGCTCGAGGCATCACCAAGTCGAAAGCTCTCTGGGGAGAGATATGGAAGAGGATGATGATGAACACAACAACCAGGAGAGAAAGCTTAATAATGACTCAGAGTCCGAGTCCGAACATAATGAGGAGCCGGAGGAAGAGCAGGAGCATGAGGAGGAGAAGGAGAGTCAGGAGTTCCACAAAAGCTCCCAAAGCTGCTTAAGGCAACGATCTCAAAGTAATGACAGCCTAAAAAGACGACTGAGCTTTGAGGATGAAAATGGAATGGCGGAAAGCGGAGAGGAAGATGAAGATGAAGAAGATGCGGAACGTCATCATCAGAGAGGGAAACGTAGGATATTGGAGGAAGATAATAAAGATGAGAAAGCAGATACAGATCAAGAAAACGAGGAAAGTGATAAAGAAGAGGACGAAGAAAATCGAAATAATGGAGATGATGAAAATAGTAGAGAGAAGGATCAGGATCACGAGGAGGACGATGATGATGACGATCATAGCCAACACAAAAGGGTGCAGGCACCGCATACGAATGCTTTGAATACACCACCCACAGCCACCACACCGCTCTCACCCGATTCTGCTGCCACTGCGGGCCAGTTATTTGACAGCAGTAACAGTAGTGATGAGTCCTCAATGAAAAAAGCTCAAATGTCCGCCTCAAATGCTTTGGCCAAAATGAATTCAGAGACCAATGACGATGATGATGAAGATGAGGAGGACGAGGTGGAAGATGCAGAGGAGAGACATGAAAAAAGAAAAAATGTAACTTCAAGAGATAGCAGTGATGATGAGGAAGAAGAGGAGGAAGCAGAAGATGATGCCGAAGAGGAAGAAGATAACTCCCAAAGCTCTTTAAGACACCACAGAAGAAGCCGAAGACATCACAGACTTAACCAAAATGACTCCGAAGAGGAGGACGAGCAGGAAATGCAACAAGAGGAGCAGGAAATACAACACAGAATGAGGTTTCGTTTGGAAAAAACCTCGAACACGACGACTTCGACCACAACTTCCAACAACAACTCCACTACCACGGTTGTGCTGGCCACCAAGGCTAGCAAAAAATTAACTCCAACAACGAATAATGATATAAAAATCAAACAGGAATATCTATAATATAATAATTATATTATTACAACAACAGCAACAAACTGAAAATGTGCCGATATAAATGTACGATGATGTGTGTTTTTTTTAGTAAATTAAGCTCTCCAAAAACAAACCAGAACTTTCATCTCTTTACTCTCACCACACACACAGACATAGACATACTCTCTTTAAAGCACTCGGAAATATTACAAACAAATTTTTTTAATTACAAAAAAAATCAAGACAACAACTTTTTTTGAAAAGCTAACTCTTTTTAGATTATTAAGTTTGTAAGAGAAAAACAAAAAAGCTTTAACTAAGACAGTTAAACATGATTTTCCCTCCGTTCATTAATTTCAAAACCTTTTCCTCTCTTTTTGTTCATAAATTTCCCAAATTTATGAACTTTTGTTTTTGTATAAAGAACTTTATACATAATTATTTTTTGCCAAGCTTTTAAGCTTTGCTTTTGGCAAAGCTTTGCCAAAAAAACAAACAAACCTGAAACCACACACAATCAGCTGATGGGGAGAAGAAATCAAAGCGATTCTCTCTCTCCCTCTCTAGCTGTTTCTCTTTTTTTCTTATAGGTTGATTACCACTCTCATTTCTTTAGACATTTAAGTACAAAAAATTAAAAATTTAAATCGTTAAACAAAAAAAAAACAAAAATTTGTTTACAAAACAAACAAAAGCTCTTTATATAATATTTAAATATATATATATAGAAAAAAATAAATTTAAAAATATATATATAAATAAAAAAACATGTGTAAATTATTAATTTAAACAAAAAAATAAATAGTTAAAAGAAATATATACTATATATATAGTCATCTGTGAGATTAAAAAACAAAAAATAATATTTAATTAAAAAAACATGTAAAAATTTATTTGAGTTTTAAAAACTTATACAAACAAAAATTAATAATAAAAAGCCTACTTTCTCCCTCCCATTCTTTAGAATTAAAAAATAACAACAACAACAAAAAAACAAATTCAATAAAATACCAAAAAATAAACACAAAACTCCTTTAGTTGAAAATAATATAAAATTTCGAAAATAAAAAAAAATACAAAGCTTAAAAGCTTTATATCCAAATTTAAAATAATACAACAAATGACATTAAATTTTAAGAAAAGATGGTTTTTTGCATAAGGCAAAATGTTTATAATAAAAATTACACAAAAAAATCTACAAATCTAACAACAAAAAAATCCATTTAAGAACTTTGTATATTTAAAAAATAACCTCAAACCCCCTACTCTCCTCCCCCCATGAAATGAAATTTGTTTTCTTGTTAAATTGTGATTTAAATTCAAAATTTAATTTCTTTTAAAAATGTTTGTGTTCATTTTATCCCAAAAAAATATTACAAGAAGCTTAAAGCTTCTTAGAAAAGTTTTTCAAAAGCTTCAAAATTGTGTTTCAAAAACAAAAATTCAAAATTATATAATTTAAAAATGACTTTCTTTTTAAAAATATTTCAGGTTCTTCCAAGCTTTTACAATTAGCTACAAAAGCTTAAAGCTTTTTGCTTGTTCTCACAAATATTTGGAATTAAACAAAAAGTTTAAAAATTCTAAATTATGTCATTTAAATGTTTTTTTAAATGTTGCCAAGCTTTTACAATTAGCTATAAAAGCTTAAAGTTTTTCTTTCTGTTCTCACAAAAATTTTAAATTGATCGAAAAAATTTATTTAAAAAATCAAAATACAAAAATTGACATTTAAAAATGGTTTTTAAAATTTTGCAAAGTTCTTCCAAGCTTTACTATAAGCTATAAAAGCTTAAAGCTTTTTTGTTTTTACAAACATTTGGAAATAAACAAAAAACATTTCCTAAATTCGAAAAACGCCATTTAAAAATTATTTAAAAATTTTTTTTTTTTGTTCTCACAACAATTTGGAAATAAACTAAAAAACATTTTCAAAATTCTAAATTATGCCATATTGAAATGGTTTTTAAAATTTTGCCAAGTTCTTCCAAGCTTTTACTCATATCTACAAAGAAATATCTACAAAGAAAGATTTTTGTTCTCCCAAAAGTTTGGAAAAAAACATAAAATTTTCAAAATTATGCCAAGTTCTTCCAAGCTCTTGTGATATGCTGTAAAAGCTTAAAGCTGTTTTTCGTTCTCTTAAAAATTAGGAAGTAACAAATTTTCCAAATTCTTAATTATGCCATTCTATTATGTTTTCTTTAACAAATTGCCGAGTTCTTCCAAGCTTTTCTGATTAGCTGTAAAAGCTTCAAGCTTTTTCTCAAACATTGTATTATTCAATTCTTTGTTTTTATTTCAAATTAATTTATTTTCTTAATGTTGGTATTGTGTGTGTTTCAGATTTAACATAATTTAGATCTCTTTCGAAAAGCTTTGTAGAGCTTCCAATTAAAACTGGAGGTTGAAATCCAAGAAAAGTTTGATTTATAGACACCAAATTTTCCATATAACCCGAGAATTTATTTTCTCATAAAAAAACTGGGGACAATTTTTCCATAAGGTAAAATTCCCAGTAACTTGGGACAATTTTTTTGTATGGGAAAAAATAATCCCCAGCAACTGGGGACAATTTTTCTTTTACGGAGAAAATAATTCCCAGAATTTTTTTCTACACGGAAAAAAATATCCCCAGTAACTGTGGATATTTTTTAAGCGGAATTTTTCCATCAAGGAAAAATTGTTCCCAGTTACTGGGGATTATTATTTGTCCGTGGGGACAATTTTTCCTAAATGGAAAGAATAATACCCTGTTACTTTTTTATCCTAAATAAATAATCCCTATTCAACTGGGGAAAATCTTTACTAAGCGAAAAAAATAATCACCAGTTATCTGCGGATAATTTTTCCCATACGGGAAAAAATAATCCCTGGTAACTGGGGACACTTTTTCCTATACGGAAAAAATAATTCCCAGTCAACTGGGGACAATTTTTTCTATTCGAGAAAAAAATCCCCAGTCATCTGGGGACAATTTTTCCTATTAGGAAAAAATAATCCCCAGTCAACTGGGGACAATTTTTCCTATTAGGAAAAAATAATACCCAGTTACTGTGAATTATTTTTTCCGGGGATTATAATTTCCCCAGCCATCTGGGGACACTTTTTCCTATACGGAAAAAAATAATCCCCAGTCACCTGGAGACAATTTTCCCTATTAGGAAAAAATAATCCCCAGTTAAAATGTCCCCAGTTACTGGGGATTATTTTTCCGTATAGGAAAAAGTGTCTACAGTTGTCTGGGGATTTTTTTCTCAAATAGAAAAAAATGTCCCCAGTTGACTGGGGATTATTTTTTCCATATAGGAAAAATTGTCCTCAGTTAACTGGGAATTATTTTTTCCGTGTATGAAAAATTGTCCCCAAATACTGGGAATTTTCCCCAGTTTACTGTATTATTTTTTCGGTATAGGAAAAATTGTCCCCAGTTAACTGGGGATTATTTCTTCCGTTAGGAAAAATTATGCCCAGTTATGTGGGGATAATTTTGTTCGTATAGGAAAAATTGTCCCCAGTTAACTGGGGATTATTTTTTTCCGTATAGGAAAAATTGTCCCCAATTACTGGGGATATAGAAAAATTGTCCCAAGTTAACAAGGGATTATTTTTTAGGAAAAAAATTCTCCGTATAGGAAAAAGTAAAATTTCAAGACCCCTCGTTATTCCCAAACCTTGATTTTTATGAAAGAAGTAATAAAAATAAAATGTTGATCGTTTCTAAATCTTCTTTTAAATCTAATAACAAACTTTAAATGTGCCAATTTGAAATGTAATTAGCAAAATAGAAAAAAAAATTTAATTTTAATATATAAAAATATATAACTTGAGGATATATATATTTTTTTTAATTTTCTAATAAACAATAAAATATTTTTATTTAATTTTTTTCTAATAAAAAAATATTTCTATTTAAATTTTCTAATTAAAAATTAAATTTTACTTTTTTAAGAAATGCACCCCACCTTTTTTTATAATTTCTCAAAATGAGAAAAATTAAATGCTAAAGGATTTTTTTATTTCTTTTTAATTACTTTTATTTCGTATATATATAGAAAACATTATTGAAACCAAAGCTTTAAATTTAATTAACATAAAAACAAATTACAAACAAAAACATAATTTTTTGTTCAAAAAAAAAATAAATCGTTTGTGTTTTCTTAAAAAAATAATAAGTTATATAGTGTAAATATTTGTTAGCATTAATTTTTTCTTTTTAATTTTATTATGTATAATTATTTTTATATAATTATTATATAAAACATTAAAATGAATAATAAAACACAAAACTAATTTTTAAGTGAGGCTTAATAATTAGTAAATTTATATTAATAATCTTTTATTATTATTTAATATACGGCAAAGCTTTAAGTTTATTTAGAAACTTATAAGTTAATAACAATTTTATTTTATTCTCTTAAAAGAAATAAAAAATAATAATATTTTTTAAGACAAACTAAATTAATTGTTTAATTTAATTTTTTTTAAGTTATCAACAAACCCACCAGTAATTTATTTTGATTTTTTTTTCTAAATAATTTTTTAATGTTTCTTTTATTTTTTTCTTCTTAAATTTTGTAAAAAAAAAGTATTATTCAGTTAAAGAAAACATCACAATAATATTTGTTGTTTTTTCTACAATGTTTAATACTTAATAATGTTTTTGATGTCTTTCATTTTTATTATTATTATTTTTTTAATTATTTTTAACAAAAAAATTTAGTCTATAATTTAAGCTCAAAAAATAATTTTTGTGTTTCTTGCATAATATTTTTTTTTCTTTAATACAAATAATGTTTTGTTTTATAATTATTTTATAAAAATTAAATAAAAAATAATATTTTATTGTAAATAATTTCTTATTTTTAGTTTATTTACGTTTAAGTTGAATTGTCAATTTTATTTTTTCTAAAAACAGAAAAAACACACGAAAACAATTTTACTAAATAGAGATTTTGAAAATTAAAAAAATATATACACGGTGTTTTTATTTTTAATTTTTATAAAGCGAATATAGAAAAAATTGTTGTATTTTGTATTTTTGCTGATTAGAAAATATTGTCCCCAGTTAATGGGAAATT